GTTTGGGCAAGAGGGTGGGTTGTCTCTTGACAGCGGTGAGAGACAGCGGTTGCAGATGAAGTGGGAGATGCAGAGGAAGGCTAGAAAGGCAAATGCAAGTGCATGGGTGCAGAGATAGCATTTGAGGCACAAGAGGAAATAGACTCTCTGAGACACACCAGCCACGTGGTGAGAGTGTCCCCAGGGGGGGAATGCCTATTATGTATCTGGCTGTTCATGCCATTGGCAATCCCTGTTTGGTTTTGTTTTCAAAATCTGTACTCTACAGTTAGCAACCATGACTTTGTGAGAGGAGAAGCCTTGTGGGGAAGGACCATCCATCTCTCTCCTTGGTCCTTGCTTCAGGATGCACGATCCTTGAGGCAGAAGGACAAAATCAAATTGGATCAATGCTTTAAAAGAAGTAAAACCTTGCCCGAGAGCTTAGATACCTTGGTGACAGGAACCAAAACAGTGCATACTTTATCCACATTTTATTATCTAGATTTATACGGTACCAAGGACTCTACGAATTCAACTGTCTCGATGCCCAAAACAGTTATTTATTTTCACTCTTTCTCATTAGCGGTCATGCATATTTTTCTAACTTCTGAAATTCATCAAGTGCCTTATTACAACTTTTATATTCATGTCTATGCAGGGCAAATTTAAATGTGTTCTTTTAGTATTAGTTGACATTATTTTGAGTTTCAGAGTTTGGGTTTTTTTCTGCAATTTATGCTCATTGAGAATTCATGTGCAAAGAAATATATAAATCTAGGCTCATTTGGCTATTACAGTGCACGGATAGCTCATTAGATAGTTAATTGTTCATTTTACAGATAATTCTCCCTGTTCTGTTGTTTTGCATTTATTCATACCCATGACCCTGCTACTACTTACCGTCCATTGGAATTGACCTAGACGGCTTTTCCCACAGCCACCAACCTCCAAGGTTAACATGAGCTCCTCCTCTTATATACCCTACACAGAAATTTGCATCTAGAAATAACGGGATCCCAAACTCATGGGCTGTTAATAGTTTTCATTCTTCATCTCACATCACGTATATGGGCACTGTTTTCCTGAAAACCCTTGGGCTTCTGAGGCACGTGGTCTCCATTTCTCCACATTCGCTAGTTAAGTAGGCTTCTCCCTTTGACATCTTTGCAAGCACAGAAATCACACCGGGGAACAGGAAGTGGTGGGTGTGCTGCTCTGGACTACCGAGGGGTGTCATCCAGTGCCCAGGGATGTACGTGGCAGGGGGCTGGCTCAGAACATCCGAAGTGGCTCATCCTTCCAGGGCTTATTCTCTCCTCCATCTGTGTCTTGAGGACAAGTTTCAATTCACCTAAAAATAAATAACTCATCCACCAGGAAAGTGATTTGTCAGGAGAGATTTAGCAGTGGCCACTTGCCCATTGGCTTCCCCGTGAGCACTGGTGAGCTGACCAGAGCCCCCAGCCTGCAGAGAGCCGGTTGTCATGCCTATAAGGACATGAGTGCACTCCTGGTGCCCAGCCTGGGTGGAGTGCACCTTTCCAACGGGGGCTTGCTCTGGAGGTGAGCTGAGAAGAGTACCTGGGAAGCCCGGGTAAAGCACCTGTCCTCTGTTCAATTTGTAGCTAAAGCAAATAGAAGAATGAATTCTCATTTTCTTAGTATGAATGGAAAATCACTGTGTTTGCGGTTGGTTGGTTTAATTTTTTTCCCCTCTCCCAACCTTTAAAGATGGGTGTTGATAAAACAACAAGACAATCGAGATTATTTTCCTTCAGCCTCAAATTTTCTCTCTCTGATACTCCTGTGCTTTGAAGAGCACATGCATTTATGTAGATGCTTCCCATTGTAGGTGGAAAGAAAAAATAGTAATGATAATATACTGTACTTTTACCATAAGAAGGAACAAAGAATTAAATTTTCATGCCCCTTAAATATTGGAGAACTGCTCTCCTTTATATGTGAAGTTTAATAAAATTCAAGCCAGTTGGCCTCAATTCAACAAACAAATATTTATGGAGCACTTGCTCTGTGGGCAACTTGGGGATACAGAGATGGGTAATTCTTAATGCTTGCCCTTGGAGTTTCTTTTGTATTAGGGAAAACAGATAAACAGCAATTCATTATGTAATACAGTGTGGTAAACTCTGAAATCAGAATATGCGGAGTGCTAGTTGAGCAGTTCTAAACCACCAGCCACTCTGTGGGAGAAAGATGAGGCTTTCTACTCCTGTGATGAGTTTACAGTCTCAGAAACGCCTAGGGGCAGTTCTACCCTGCCCTGTAGGGTCTCTGTGAGTTGGCATCAACTTGACGGCAGGGAGTATAAGAATGAAGAGATTCAGAAGAGGACATGGAACAGGGATATTGTGTTAGTCTAGGCACTTTAGAGAAATAAATCCACAGACACTCATGTATAAGAGAGAGTTTTATATAAAGGGTAAGTGCACATCAAGAAAACATCCCAACCCAGTGCTGCCCAAGCCCACAAGTCCAACATTAACCCATATGTCCGACACCAATCCACAAAGTCCTCCTCCATCTCCCAAAACATACACTATGATGCCGACTACAGGAAAAAAGCCGATCAGTGAGTGTGCAAGCATCTCCGCACTGGCAGGGATTTCCACACGGGTGCTCCAGCACCCAGGCCTGCATCAGGGTAGGTCCATGTGGCTTCTCCTCAGGGATGTCTTGCAGGAAGTGAGCCTTACCAGCTGAAGCATGGAGCTGGCTAAGGCAGCTGCACCCTGGTTTTACCATCACAAAGCAAGACACCTGAGAACTCGAAAGGTGAGGCTTACGGAACCATTTATCCCTCCACCCTTCAATTAACCCCACATGTGTTTATCGGCCAGGTTGGCACAATAAACTAACTACCTCAGATATCATTACTGACGTCAGGTGGATCTTGGTTGAAAGCAGAGAATACCAGCAAGATGTTTGCCTGTGTTTTATCGACTATGCAAATGTGTTCAACAGTTTGGATCATAAAACATTTTTCAAAGACTAGGAATTCCAGAACATCTCATTGCACTCCTGTGGAACCTGTTCATAGACCTCGAGGCAGTCATTCAAACAGAGCCAAGGGAACACTGCATGGCATACCATCTGGAAAGGTGTGCATTAGGGCTAAATCCCTTCACCATACTTACTCAGTCTGTGTGCTGAGAAAATAAGCTGAGAAGTTGTACTAAGTGATGAAGGAGTTGAGGTAGTCTTAGCAACAACCTGTGCTATGACAGCAACTTGCAGGCTGAAAACAAAGAAGAAGCATTTCCTGATGAAGATCAAAGAATTCATCCTTTGCAATGGAATACACTTCAATGTAAAGAGAACGACGATTCCTTACAACTGGGCCAAGAACCAACATCACGAAACTGGAGAGGAAATTGGCATTGTCAAGGATTCCCTTTGACTTGCGTCCACAGTCGGTGCTCATGGAAGCAGCAGTCAAACAATCAACTGATGCATTGAGCAAATCTGCAACCGAAGACTTTATTAAAGGGTTAAAAGCAAAGGTGTCACTTTGAGGGCCAAGGTGCACCGTGGTACTTTCAATCGTCTCATGCGTGTGAATGGTGCACAGTGAATAAGGAAAGTTAAAGAAGAATAGATTCATGTGAACTGTGGCGTTGGAGGAAAAGATATTGACTGTATTCATTGACTAAATAAATATATTGACTATATTGGCTATCTTCTGACACAGACTGTCAGAAGAACAAACAAAGCTACCTTAGAAAAATGCTCTTTACTGCCAGCACACTCCTTAGAAACAAGGGTAGCAAGACTTCTGGTGCACCTCCTGGCCATGTTATGAGGAGGGGCTAATCTCTGGAGAAGGACATCTGGTTTGGCAAAGGAGAGGGTCAGCAAAAAGGGTGAAGACGCTCAACAGGATAGATGAGCACAGGGGCTGCAACAACGGGCTCAAACATAGCAATGAGGATGGTGCAGGGCTGGGTGATACTTTCTTCTCTTGTCCATATGGTCTCTGAGGCAAAGCAATGACAACCCAAGAACAAAAGCTCCTGGGTCGTGCAAATGGTTGATGTGATTACACCTCAGAAGAAAAGGGGCATGGTAACGAACTTGCAAAAAGTCTGTCATTAAAAACCCGATGGAGCCGAGCTCTATTCTGACACCCTGGGGTCACCCTATGTGCTAGGCCAGGTTGACTAGAGAAACAAATCCAGGGACACTCATCTATGTGTAAGAGAGAGCTTTATATCAAAGGGCAATTGTATATTGGGAAAACATCCCATCCCAGTCCAGATGGAGTTCATAAGCCCGATATGAGCCCATATGTCCAATACCAGTCCTTAAATTCCTCGTCAGGCTCACATAACACATGCAATGATGCCGAATGCAGGAAGATCACAGGTCGGTGGGTGAAAAGTCTTTTGGATCCAGTGGCAGTGGAAGCATCTCCATGCTGGCGAGGGTCCCTACTTGGCTCCTCAACAAGAAGGTGAAGCAGAGAGAGAGTGTGGCCTTCCTCCAGAGGGAAAGAGAGGAAGTTCCCAGAATCCTCATGAGAAGGCCACAAGGAGACATCATCAGACTGTGACCTGACTGACGGGCTAGACTCCACCCCTTCACTCTCAATATCCTCAAGTTGACATGAGATTATGTAACTACCACAGCATAGGTTGGAATCAACTTGACAGCTGCTCGTATAAGAGCAAGGCAGCAACAAATTCTAACGGAGGGCTCAAGGTGAGCTAATGAGAGAAGCCACATCTGAGTTGTGCCCTAAAGCCTGTGCAGGCAGAGAGGACGTCGCCACAGCGCTGTGAGTGACAAGGAGCGTGCACAGAAAGAGCGATCAGCATCAGGGCAGGGATTGGAGTGTGTACAAAGAAACGGGCAGAGCACGGGCATGGAGACAGCAAAGTGTGTGGGACGGTCCCACGAAAAAAGTCCATTGTGTCCCGAGCATGGTGTGGGGGACTAGCAGGCTAGATGTGAGGCTGAGGCCAAACGCAGTCTGGTTTTTGAAGTTTGGGGTCATCATGGCAAAGAATGTGTAACTTCTGAAGCAGTCTGGCAGTGGGGGTGATAAGAGAGCGGAAGTTCGAAATGACTTGGAAATCCATCCTGGAAACCAGGAAGGGCTGGGAAATGGCATCGAGGATGAAGGGAGGTCCCTGGGGTTCTGTTTTTCTTTCTTTTTTGAGAGAAACCAAACCAGTGAAGACTCTATATGCATATAGAAACATAGAGACAGAATTCTCTGAAGGGAATGGCTTAGGTGTTTGTAGAAATTGGCAAGTCCCAAGTCTGGGGGTCCAACAGCAGGGCTGGAGGCTTCTCTTGACTCAAGTGGCTTCAGGACCTGACAAACTTGAGCTCCCCGGGCCAGATGACAGACTGCTGACTCACCACCAGCTGCAGAGGCTAATAAATCCCAAGGTCAGTTTAGCGCTCCGAGTGCAAAGAGATGGAGTTGGGTGGTAACGAGCCAGATGCAGGATCCAGATTGAACAAAAAGCCAACAATTTTTGCCAGAACGCTCATCTATAGTAGATGCCCAACCAAGCGGACACACGATCTAACAGATTCCAGGTTGAGCGCCTGGGTGAATATATTGATGCCGTTAAAGGAGACAGGATAGAGAACAGTTCAGATACCGGATGAGAGAGAATTCAAAGAATGTGTTAGGTTTGGGGTTTGTATTGATTTAAAAGGCAGTTCTAGGAGCCAATGGAAATATGGATATGGGGTTCATTATAAAGTCAGAGATTTAATGTTAACTAGATTTGCTGGGTCAGGCAAATGGTTAAAAGCCCAGCTGCTGACTGAAAGGCTGATGGCGAAGTCCACCCAAGGGCGTGTTTGGAGGAAAGGCTTGGCAATTGGCGAGAAAAGGAGCCATCGAAAATGTTATGGAACTCAGGTCTACTGGGATGCAAATGGAATCCCTATGAGTGGGAATCAGCTGGAGAGCAAATGGTGTTTTAGACGTGCCTTATCTTTCCTGGCTCTTTGTAAGATGTCCACAATGGTGGCTCGTTCACACATTTAATCTTTAATATACCTTATGCTGTAGGGGCCCTGATGGTGTAGTGGTTACAAGTGGCTGCTCACCACAGGGTCAGAAGTTCAAAACCACCAGTTACTCTTCAGGAGAAAGAGAAGGCTTTCTATTCCCCGAAAAACGTTCATTTGAGAAACTCACAGAAGCAGTGCTGCCCTGTCCTATAAGGGCACTATGACTTGGCATCAGCTTGCTAGCAGGGAGTTTGATTTCGTTTTGGTTTGGTAGCTAGTGCTAGACTGAGATCAGGAAGTTATATGAATCGCATACAAATTTATATTTGTGAAAAATATAATACCATGTGGATCGTTAGCGTATGATCGCTTCAACTTGTTGCCCCATCAACTATTTTCATAGGATATTTCTTAACTTTTTTCATGGCTTATAAAGACCAGGACAGTACCATACTTCAAAATTTGGAAATTGCAAAATTAGTTTTGTATTATCTTCCTAGGATGCCTTGTTTTCTTTTCCTCTGCTTAGCTCTCTGTGTGTTTAATACCCTCATCATTCGACTTTTTAAACACGTGTCTCTGGGGGTATTCCGAAGCCTCAATTTCCAAACAGAGGTTGCTCATAAAAGCAATGTGGTTGCAAAAAAACAAAAATGATAGAAAGTCACATTCCCATATTCAACATCGGCTTTTATACTACAGGTCCTTGTTGTAAAATTCCTTTGTTTGATGATAATGTAGACGTTTTACCCCAAATCTGACAGGCATTATAAGCATTGTCTGACACTAGTACTCACCTACTCAGAGATCTGCCTTTAAGTCTAGCCTACAAAGCACAGTGGCTGACCCATGCCCCTTAGGCACGACTTTAGGAAAGGATATAATTGTTAGGCTATGCATGTTTTGAGGGCAGGTGCTGAGCTCTAGCTACTCAAAATCAAATGAAACTGCCTAAGGCAGAAGCATCTTCTTCACTCTACAGCTGGTTTCCCCAACGAAATCAAAAGCCAGTTGAACAGGATTCCCACTCTTCCCACCAAAAATATGTGCACTTGTTCAAAAGCAAAACAAGAAAGGAAAAAAAAGGGGGGGGGGAATAACTTAGCAGTAGCCCTTTAAGATTCTGCCAGTTATGTAATTTCCACAAAAGGTAGTTTAATTCACACCTGGGCAGGAGAGAGAGGAGCGTGCAGTTCTCTTTTTCCATATGCTGCAAAGAAAAGCCAGAGGAGGCCTTTCTAGTGGAGTGTACAGGGGAAGGATTAGTAAAATGTGTCTCAACGAACCTACAACATTTATTACTGTGACGTATCCTTTTTTTTTAAGAGGAACAAAACCAATGTGACACACACACACAGGTATATATACACAAGTATAAATGAGAGAGACATTTCAAAGAAATGACACATGCATTTGTGAAGGCTGACAAGTCTCAGATCCATGGGAGGCATAAGGCTGGCGGCTTCTCCTGGCTCCTGTGCTGAGAAATCCAAAGGCTGCAGAACAGGGGCAGGCTGCCGGCTCAGGTCTTGCACACACTCATGAAAACTACTTTTGCTGGGCATACAATCCTATAGCGATATTCATCTTAGTCTATCATTTAAAGCATTTTCCTGTTTCCTTCTACCCTGCGGCTGAAGAATTGACCGTCAAATTGTCAGTCAAATTATTATTTCCTTATAATATTTTTCCTTTCTGGCTGTTTTTAGAATAATCTCTTTGTCTTTAGTGTTCTACATTCTCACTCTGATATCTCTGCATAGATATTTATATTTACTTATCATATTAGCTATTCATTGAGTTTCCTCAACTTGAGGCTCTGTGTCTTCCATCAATCCCAGAAAAATGTCTCAGTGATTATTTTATCACTTATTACCACTTTTTCATTTTCCCTCTTTTTGTTGAAATGTATGTAAAAGGTAATCACGTGGGTTCACATATCTTTAGACTCTCTTTCATATTTTCATTTACTTGTCTCTCTGAAGACGCCTGCATACAGCCTTACAGTCTATTTTCCAGTTTTCTGATTCTCTCTCTGCCTGTATCTAATCTGTTGTTTATCACATCATTAGCTTTTGTGGTAGGTAGCAAAATAGACCCCTAAATAAGCCTGCACCCTATCCCTTGGAGGCTGTAAATATATGAGGGAGTTTCAAGGAGGTTTGGGGAAAGGTGTAGGTGTTAGGCAGCATTCTCTAGAGAAACAAAACCAGGACACTTGTGAATATATATATATATATATAGGTTTATACAACGAGAAGGAATATAACAGCTAATTAGTCCACACAGCAATACAGAGGGCTCAGTTCTGCTCACTTTCATGAAACAGTAAATACACTGGAAGTCCTTCAACTCACATGGGCTGCTGAAGGATGGTCAGAGAAGCAGACAGCTGAGTCTTCCCTCAGGCACGCCAGGCAGGGTCTGCCCACAGGCAGTAGACAGCAGGGTGGGTCAGCAGCAGTCAGCAGCACGGGAGCTTAGTGAAGCAGGCCTGGCATGATCCCAAACACAAGCGATGCACAGTGACAGAATCCAGCAGGCTCAAGCTCAAGGACTGTACGCACCTCAGGCTGGGGAAGCAGGCTTTGAAGGAGCCTCAAGCTCTAGCAACACAGTCCTCGGGTTGGCTTGGCCCACAGGTAGTGTAGTACACAGGTTGGGGCAGATAGCTAACTAATGCAGCAGCACGCTGGTCCGATCACCAGGGAGCAAGAGAGATATGGGATGCCGGCCATCTTCATTTCCCTCCGTCACCTTCCAATCAAGATGCAACCTGATCAAACGCCACCCACATGTTCCAATTGGCCTAGTTGGCACAACTAAGTTTATCACCGTGGATTTAGAAGATAGTGGATTTTTTTCCTACAAATGTTTGAAGTCCCCTCATATTACCTTACATGGCAGAGGAACTGGCAAATAATGACTAAGGTGGGGGGATGGTCCTGGATTATTCAAGTGTACCCAGTCTAATCATGTGAGCTCTCAAAACTGGAAGAGGGAGGCAAAAGAGTTTTTTGGAGAGAGGAGCTGGAAGAAGGAGGAGACATTCAAAACATGAGAGGGTACGGTGGCTGACTTTGAAGATCCTGGAAGGGGGCTATGAATCAAGAATAGAGGTCTCTCTAGAAGCTGGGACTGGCCCTTACTTCACTGGCCGCAAGGAAACAGAAGGCTCAGTCTTACCATCATGGAGAACTGAATTCTGAAATATCCCAAACAAGCAAAGAAATAGATGCTCTGCTAGAACTTACAGAAAGGAACCCACGCCTGCAGACTCCTTGATTTCCAGTGAAACAGTGTTAGACTTAGCACCTATAGGACCACAAGATAATTTCCCTTTATGTGAAGACCAGGGTTTGTGCTAATGTGTTACAACGGCCATGGAAAATGAATCGTTTTAAAGTTTCAGTTTAGTTATTTTAAGAATTCTGTTTGTTCTTTTTCAACAGGGCCACAAATGGTTTAGTCTCTTCTTTTCTATGTATATTTTCAATTATCTTTATTTTTACTCTCCAACCCGAAGAAAGCACACTTCTCTGAACATAGGGGGAAATGCACTGCCTAGGATCTCTGCAGTTCTGGGCCGGCTTCCCGTTGTCGGTGCTGGCTCATGTTCACGACGCCTTGTTTCTGGATGATTTTTGTCACTGTAGACTGGAAGCCCTGGTCTGCTTGAAATCAACTGCTGCCATTAGTTGAGAGCTGGGTTGAAAGTCTGTTGTTCTAGCGAAGATCTGTCTTTGATTTTAGCAGGCACCACCTGGGGCTTCCTGGAACTACTTTGAAATAAATTTGTGGTTTGAGGTTTTTCAAATAATACAGGTAATTAGTGTCACAAACCCGATGAACCGAGACTTCTCAGAAGAGATTCTTATCCCCACCCAGCTAGACAGAACATGTTCTTGTCATCGCCTTCTGGTGGTGGGTCATTTCAAGTTCACCCTCACACTAAAGTTCAACCCTGCCGCAGTCACACTTTTGTATAGAAGTAGTTCCCTATTAGACATTGAACCTTGGGTGAGAGGGTTTACTTCCTCCGTCATTGTGGTTTATGCACCATCCAAGCAGAAACCCAGTCAGGGGTTAACACCTGAAGATAAAATCTGGCTTGTCTCTCTGCATGACAACTTTCACTCTATATTTTGTTTGACTGCAATGATCCCTCAGTTTATTGCCAGTTCAGTGAAATAGCTAAAATAATGTCCTCTACATCTTACTCAGCACTCTTGGTTGTTTTCACGAGGGTTGTTCAAGGTAACCCTTGCACCATATTCTCACATACTTGCTGGTGAAGACCGGGGATTGCAGCCTTCCATACAGATTACAACTCAATGTGCACAACACCCAAATCCTCACAACTGGCCCGATAGGTAACATCATGATCAAAAGAGAGATGATAAAAGTTCTCAGGGATTTTCGTCTTGCTTGGATCCACAAGCAATGCTTGTGGAAGCAGCAGGCAAGAGATCAAACGACACGCTGCACGGGTAACTGAGCTGTACAAGACCTCTTTACAGTGTTGAAGAGCGAAGATGCTCCTTTGAGTTGGACGTTGACTAAGGAAGTCAGAGGAGGAATCAGTGCATTGAATTACGGGGCTGGCGAAGAGCACTGAGGTCGATTGGCACCATGGCCGCCTCGATGGGCTCGGGCAGGAGAACACTGTGAGGAGGGTGACGAAGCAGGCAGTGCTTTATTCGATTGTACCTACGGTTGCTATGAGTCAGAACCAACTGCAAGGCACCTAACGACAATAACAATTCACCCACGTTTGTGTCTGATGATTTCTTTAGAATGCTTTCGTAGATGGAAAGTTGCTGAATTGGAAGCTGGTACGCACTTGGGAAACATTGATGCATATTCTAAACGACAAAAACATATTTTATATCCAGAGATAAAACAGAAAAACAAAACACTGTTTGGAAGCTGTGTAAATATTTTTTAGATTTCCCTCTAACACATAGGAAAGTAAATAGGAATGTGACCAGCATTTGGCTAGCTTTTCCATTTCTGTATGATAGCACTGGAGGGCGGTTTTGGTTTAAGCAATTCTCTCTGTTTCATTTCAGCTTTGGCACCTGTTTCTGAGGGTACTTTTCCTGGTCCCGTTCTGAACAGTGGCCTCGTTTTTTGTCCTCCCAGGTATCAGAGTAACACCGCATCTGATGTTCTTGAAACGATCACCAACATTCAACCCAAAGAAAGTGGAGGCGGAGTGGGCGAGACTCGGGAAGCAATTGTTTACCGATTGTCCGAAGATATGCTGAGCAAACTGCCGCCCGATTACATTCCTCACGAGGTCAGCTAGACCAGCTCTCTGCGTAGATCTTTGGTTCCGCAAAGCTGAGAGCCATCCTGCGACAGTGTGCTCCCTCTTCTCCAGTCTTACCTTTTCAACCCCCGACACCCCACCCCAAGGGTTTTATTGCTTTATCATTCTCATATCATACGACTCAATCATTCAATCACACCCAGAAGAGTTGTACAATCCTTTCTTCATTCTTCTACTCATCACGATAAGTTCCCCATCCCCCACCCCGACCTCCAACCTCCCCTGCCATACCCCCCAAGGAACTATTCATCCAGTTATTGTCTGCAGGTTTATATATCCAGGATTTCACATACAGAAAAGGTGCTAAAAACAAAACCTAACCACAATTACCAAGTAAAACGGACGGAAATCTCAATCGAAAAGAAAGCAGAAAGTATAAAAAAGGAGAACAAATTTCAATGGCCCCTAAGGGAGCCCCGGTGACAGGGTGCTAAATTTTCACCTGGCTGCACATGTTCTTCTCTTCCTTCCGGACTTCCCTTCTCAAATCTCTCACAAGACAGGGGCTGCACTTGACCTGATGCCTCTCCTCATTCCCTGGCCGGTCCACTTGCTCTGTCAACCACCTTTTCATCTTTAGGAGCCCTGGTGGCCTAGTGGGTTACACATTGGGATGCTAACCTCAAGATCCTCAGTTCAAAACCACCAAG